AGGCATGGCATGCAGCTGGCACTGTTGAGGCTGGACCTCAGAGAAGTGTGAACAGAAGCCCCGGGCTCTCTCCTAGGAGTGCCACACTCTAGCCCCTCCTGGGCCTCCAGGTACACACAAGGGACACACACAGCCCAGGACACACAGGGTGGCGCACCCACACAGAGGGGCACACTTGACACCTCCCCACGTGTGCATGGACACATATAGATGCCACACCTGTTTCTACACGTGCACCCCCACACTCAGCAGCTCACCCAGGCGCACATCTGGTCCCTTCACGCCCATCTGCTGTGCCTCTGAAGAACAAGGTCACATCTACTGTGCACAGAGAATTCTTCAAGAGCGACCTCTGTCTGGGATGACCACACAGTCCACTCTGCTTCTGGGGACTGGCACCACTCTCTTCTCTGGTGAGACTGATGCAGCTGAATGCCCTCACATCCATTCATGCGTCTCCACTGTGGGAGGAGGGAGTTGCTTGGTGGGAGCACTCTGCTGTCTTGGCCTCTTCCACTTTCCAGAGGGAGTGCAGCCAGAGACGAAGCCCAGGCCCGGGAGGCCACACACCCGGTCCCCGTGCCCTGACCTGCTGTGCAGCCCTGAGCAAGTCCCTGCATTGCTCTGAGCCTCTGTTTGGATGGGGTCCCACATCTTCCACTGACTACATGGCCTCCTCCAGATAAGGCCACTCGATCCCCCGTGGCCCTGGTCGGGACATCCGTGCAGAAGCCAGGGTGTCCTCTCTTCCTCTGCCTACAGGCAGCCTGCCAGGACTGCACTCAGCAGGATCTGCTCCTAGCCCCCAGCCTGCACTGGGTAAATGCCTTGGCTCCCACCCTGCCTCCTACAGGAAGGTTACGTGGGGGCTAATGTGGTGGGAAGAAGCTGGCCATGGTCAGAAGTACTCAGGGGGACCCCCCCAAGTTGGAAATAGAGATTTTCAATCACGGGTGGGCAGAGGAGAGGAGGAGGGGAAGACAGCAGTGGGAGACCCGCAGGGTTCAAGAAGGGTCCAGAGCAGGTGAAGGTGTGTGTCAGGTAGTACGGGGAGGGGGACAGGCAGGGAGAGGCTGGGAGGGAGCCGGCTGGGGTGGAGGAGCAGAGGAAAGGGGTGGAGCCGGCAGCAGCTGGAGCAGGGGGTGGAAGGACTGACCAGGGTGTGGTGTCCAGGAGGTACCTTTGGGTGGTCGGAGAGGGCCTGAAACACGCAGGGGGTATCTTTGAGCCGTGAGGGGCAGCGGCCGGTGAGGGGGGTGGAAGGGACAGAGCAGGTAGTGCCCCGCGCTGGGATTGGGGGTGGGGGCGGGGAGGGCTCTTTAAGCGGCCGCGGCGCTAATAACCTGTCCAGGAGATGGCTCGTGGCAAATTGCTTTGTTAGTCTTGTCAGCGCGGCCGGGGCCGCCGTCAGCGCGCGCCATGGATCAAGATGATGAATCGCCGCGGACGGCGCAGATGCGGGCGGCCCGAGGCCGGGCCCCGGGGCAGGGGTAAGGGGCGGCGGGGGCCGCGGGGGGCCTGGCCGCCGCCATTAGCTCCCGAATTAGCTTTAAGCTGCCCGCCACCCAGCCGCTGCTCCGGGGAGCGTCGGCCGTGGGGGCGGGGACGGGCCCACAACGGAGGGCTTGGCACCCGCGCCCCCACTCGGAGCTGGACCCGGGCCTCCCAACTCCGGGCTCCTCCAGACCGGGAGGAGAGCGGATGGCTTTGCAGGGGCGTGGGAGGGCATGGTCTCCAGTCTCCGGGGCGAGTCCCCTTCCACGCGGCCTGGGGAATCCACCCTTGGGAATACCCCTAGCAGTCTGGGGTGCGTATCCCGGGAGTCTTCAGTTGTGTGAGCGTGCGTGTTGGGGGTGGGGGCATAGGGGTATTGGATTTGGCGTTACCACTCCAAAGCGAGCTCAGACACCAGGGATGGTGGGGCTGCCGGCTTCAGCGTGCTCTGGGACTTGGGCCCCTCACCTTGCAGGTCTTTCAGCTCCGACGGCTGCAGCCCCGGCGTCCTTGGGGGTTCCAGGCCAGTTGGAAACCTTTGAGCACCTGCTTTCCGCACCCCTGGTCCCTTCCTCTCCTGATCCCATTGAGAAACATCTCCCCGCAACACACTCCACCTTCAGCACAGTCTCCATTGACAAGCACACATTTATATATACACACAATATTACAAATAGAGGACTATATGTACAAATTCATCTGCACTTAACACGGGATAATGAATTTAAGCAAACATACAAGCACATCCAGAAATGCACTGGGGGCGGTCTCCACGCCTCCCGGGCTGCCTTTCTTTAAGCCCTTTGAAGGTGTCAGCCACAGCCGCAGGGCAGGAGGGCGGGTGGGGAGGCTCCAGTCTTGGGAGGGAGGCCCTGAGCCACCTCCACTTCTTAGCTCCTGTCTAGACGGTGGCATTTTCTAAGTGGTTTTGTTAAATCAGTAAAACCCACCCACACTGTGGCACACCAAACTTCCTACCAGCCCAGGCCTCCCTGAAGGACATGCTCCAGTCCTGTCCTACCCTGTTTTGCTCCTGGACTTTCCATCCCAGCAGAGAGACTGCCAGGGCCTTGGCGTCGCCCACCCATCTCCAGGAATCCTCTGTCAACCCAGAGCCCAGCCCCAGGGCAGCAGTGTCTGTGGCAGTGAGGAAGGGCGGCGGGCCTGTGTCCACAGTGACTCCAGTATGGAGGCCTGAGCGTCCTGTCCCCGCGAAGATAGGGCTGTACTGGTGGTGTGCGTTTCTCTGGGGGTCTGCAAATCTGAGTTTGTGGAGGGCCTACTGGCCACCCAGCCACACGTCCACAGCCCCAGGGACTGAGCAGCTCGCACTGGTGGGGGCCTTGGCAACCTGGGGAGGCATGCAAGGGCTTCCCCAGCTGCACTGGGAGCTCCTTCCATGTGCCCTAAAGCTCAGAGAACTCAGCAGTCCTCAGCCAACCGGCAGAGCTGCACTGTTGCCCATCTGCATGCCCCCCCCCCCCCCCGGGCAGGATGGCCAACCCCGGGCCCAGGGTCATCGCCCCTCCGGCCTGCCCGGCAGCCCTGTACTTTGTGAGGTAGGGAACTAGGCGGGCATGGGTTGAAATCTGAGTCTTGGGTAAAGAAAGATAATGCTCTCTCCTGTTGGGAGGGGGGACCCCCTCCCCATTTGGGGATGAGATTCCTCCTTTAGGGGATGACATACCTTTCTGGCACCAGGTAGGGAGCCAGGAGGGACTCCAATCCATGCTCCTACCTACAGAATTTTGGTCCCCTCCCCCATTTGTGTGTGTCTGTGACCCCTCCTCATGTGCACCTGTGCCCAGGTCTGCGTGTAACTGTGGGTGCTGTGTTGCATGACAGAGGGCAGCCGGTTGGGGGCGCAGTGTCCTTCCCACCATTTCCCCGGTGCCGCAGTCCGGATGATCTAAGCCTGAGAGACAGCCTCCCCTCCCCTCTCTTCTCCTCCCCTCCCCTCCCCTCCGCTCCTGCACAGGGCCGGGATCCCTGAAGAGAAATTAAAAGGTTATTTAAAGCCCCCGCCTCCGCCTTTCTTGTCCCTTTAAATCGAGCCTAAACGGTTTTGCTTTGGCAGAAGAGATCTTTTCTGGAGCTTTGGGGTGGGGGTGGGGGATCCTGGTGGGAGAGAAGGGTCTAAGCGGCCTAATCCTCTTACCGCCCCCTCCTCTCCCCTCCCTTCCCTTCTGAGGCCCACTACTCCCGCTGTCCCCCTGAGGCGCTTAGCCCCTAACTCTGGCTAAAGATCGACCCCGACCCTCAAACCTGCCCCACCCAGGCCAAAATTCCTGACCCTCTGGACCCAGGCTTCGACTCTGAAATCCACCGGCACCACTGGCCTGCCAACACCACCCTCCTCCCCACCCCCAGCGTCTAAGAACAGACTCTTGGGAGCTGGACCCGAAAGGGTTGCAAGCTGGAGACTCTGCCCTACCCTGTGCCCAGCAATCTGGATTCACAACTGCACCTGCTGACTCTCGAACACGGGTTCTTATGCACACAATGGAGCGCCAGGCGCAAAGACACGCTGCCCATGTGAATCATCGCTGCAGCCACTCAGGTCAAAGGCAGGTTGCACAGAGTCCCAGCCGCAAGGACAGCCCCCACACACCTCCCTGCACACGGCCAGGTCCACACAGTCACCCACACACAGCCTTTCTGCAGAATCTGGCCACCCCACACTCCTGTGGTCACTGTGAGTGTTGACCTGCCCCCTGGCACGCGCCACAGACACACACCTTTTGGGAGGCTGGGCCTGTGTCCGGCCCCAGAACGTCGTCTTCCTCTTCCACCCTGGAACGAGCAGGGCGCTGGCAGCAACCGGCGAACCCCAGACCCGTGATTTTTCGAGCGTGGGCCAGGCGCTGTGTCTATCTGCCCCGCCTCCCCGCGACAGGTGCGTATGCTGTGTGTGAGGCCTCGAGTCCCGTGCCTGCGGCTTCTCAGCCCCTCCGAGCCGCCGTGTCCTGCCGCCTGACAGGTGAGCTGCTGCTCAGATCCACCCTACCCCGATGCTAAGTGCGGTGGTGGGGCGGCGTGGTGGCGGCGGGCGTGGTAGTGTTGCAGGTGGTGTGGACCGATGGGGAGAAGGTATGAGTGCAGCTCGAGACCAGCATTGAAAGGGTGATGGGAGTGGGAGTCAATCTGGTTGCCCCCAAGCCACAGCTACGGACACCAGGTGCCAAGGTCCCAGCGGACAGGGATTGGGGGAGGCTTCTCAAGACCTCTCTTCGCCCCTACGGACCCGCCTGCGGCTTCCGCGAACTCGAAAGAAAAACAGACCCCGGGACTGGGAGCCAAAGACTAGGGCCGGAGTTTCAGAGGAGGTCACGGACCCCGGCCGGACGCACACCCACCGACGGTGGGACCCCTCCGCCTAGACCGAGAGTCGCGCTGCAGCACCGGCGGGGCGGGGCGGGGCGGGAGCGGCCTGTGATTGGCAGCCATCCGGGCCATTAGGGAGCGCGCGGGCCCGCGCCGGGCGCCCGGGAAACGTGGTTTAAAACTCCAGCCCCGGCGGCGACGCGCGTAGATGGCAGCGGCAGCGGCGGAGCGGGCCGGGGAGACCAGGTGCGAGCAGGCTCTGCGGGACCGAGCCGGGAGGGGTCGGGTCGGCTGGGGCGGGATGGGGGTGGGGGTCGCCGCGGGCCGTGAGCTCCCGGGAGGTCGCCTCTCTTGCTGTCCTGCAGTTCCGGACTCACTGGGAGGATCGCAAAGTTTGCAGGCGGTCAGGGACTTGGAGACGCAAAGCTCAGAGACGGGGAGAATAGAGGGGAAGACGGAAAAAGCCTGGAAGAGGCAGAGGGAGTGGTACCCAGGTCCGAAAACGGAGTCAGACGCCGGCCACCCAGGCCGAGACGCGCGTGCAGAACTGGGAATTCCGAGGCCGAAAGGGAGAGGAGGGTGAGCTGGGGCAGATGCACCGAGGCAGAGAGGGAAGCCTGGGCGCGCGGAGACGCAGGCACCCGCAGAGAGCGCTTTGGATCCGTCACGGTTTTGCCTCATTTGGAAGATATTACTTCGCCCATGAAAAAAAATAAATACAAAAAAGGTTTGGATATTGAGCGGAGACAAATCCTCAGTTTGGAAGGGGGCGGCCGTGGGGAAGGGAGGTGGACAGGGTAATGCGGAGCAGATGCAGCCCGAGGCGTCGCGGAGCCCGGGGCTCAGGCTGGGCACGGGGTGCGGCCCGCGGCCCAGTCCCCGCCTCCGCAGCTTCTCGGGCCGCGCGAACCCCGCCATGCCCGGGACATTGCCTGGGATCCAGCTCTGGTGTCGCCCTCGCGGATCCCGTTCAAACTCCGCTGCGGCCGATGGCATGTTCTCTCGAGACTGATTCTGCACGAATTCTCCAGCTGGGGGACGGTTCTACGCTCCGTCTGCCTCTGCCCTTGTACACGCAGCCTCGGGCTGGGGCCCTCCAGGTGGGTGTTGGGGACGCAGCGGCCCTAGTCACCAAGAATTCGTTTTGCCTCCCGCGGTCTCCGCGGACGTGGGTCGGGCAAGCTCCAACAGGAATGGCAGGTTGGGACCAGTTCCCCGAGCGGCTGTCCCGACGCTTGCGGGAAGCCAGGGACTGAGGGGACCGCCGGGGTCTCTCTACTGTCTGGGCACGGGTACCGTAACCCCGTCCTGGGACGCGACGGGCCGGGGGCCCTGGTGGAACGCGCCGAGTCCCAAGCTCCGCCGGCCGAACTTTCTTGAGGGTCGCAAGTTCCTGGCTCCCTGCTCGGGGACGGCGGCAGCCCGGGTGGCGCACTTTGGGAGCTGGAGCGGAGCCTACCCTCTCATAGATTCGCACCGACTGTGTGAGTTCCGGGGCCCCGACTTTTCCCGCATTCTGGACAAGCGGTGGGAAAGGGCGGTGGGCTCCTTGGGCTTGGGGTCTGTTGGAGAAGGGGGTCCGGGAAGGCCAGGATCCGCGGCCTTTGGACCCTCTCTCCGAGATGCGAATCGCCAAGGCCGGGAACCCGCGGGGCCGCGAGCGCAGCCTCGGCGCCGGCTCCGCGCGGGACTCTGGAAGGGCCTTTTCGTTTTTGGAAAAGCCCGCGGACGCCGCGTGCCGGCCGGGCGGGTCCTGCTTTTCTGGGGCGGGCCCTGGCCAGGGTGGTCGGGAAGAAAGGAGGACTTTGCAGACTCTGTGCTCCTCGGGGCAAAGATCTGTTCGCCCCGCCGAGGCTGTGCGCGCCGCCGCCGCCGAACTGTGCAAGTCTGCGGTCTGCTGTGGCCGCGGCGGGGGAGGGCGCAGCGTCCTTCTCCCCACGTCCCCACCCCCGCGCCCCGGCTCCGGTGCGCCGCAGGCGGGTCGGCCGGCCGGCCTCTTCTTAGGACATTCCGTGGCTTGTTAGTTTTAAGTGGAGTGGAGTGGAGTCGAGTGGAGTGGTGGTTAATTTTTCGCCGATTCGCGTTTCATTTTTTAGCAGCCGCAGTGCCCCCCCCCCGCCCACCCCGTCCCCTGAAAGGGAAAGGCCTAAGGGTGGATTTCGTCCCTACCTCCCCTCTTCGCGAACCAGCTGTGCTTGTATCTGTGTGTAGGCGGTCAGAAAAAAAAAATCGAATTTGCTGCCTGGTGAGAGCAAATTATCCGGATAATTGGCTCAAATTTCTCTCTTCTGTGGCTGAGATAGACCCAGGCTTTGGACATGGAGCCGGGCATCGCTACTCCGGAGGGGGTCCACACCTTGCCCCTCCCCAGCTGCAAGGAGGACCCGGCCGCTGCGGCCGCGTAGGCTCCGCGTAGCCAGCGGAAGGCGGAGGTGCGGCGTAGGGGAAACCCGCCCCGGGCGAAGGCCCCGGCGGAGGCCACCCTGCGGGCCTCTGGCTGGGCTCTGCTGGGGCGGCGGGTGCATCAGCCGGCTCCCTGCGCAACGGGTGAGTGCCCAGGGGAGCCTGCTCCCTGCGCTTTCACACACACGATCCGGAGTGGTCCCGAAATTGGAGTAGTCTGCTCCGAAACAGTTTACACTGGGCCGGCGCACGCTCGCCAGCACGCTGCCGTTCTCGAGCAGGAAACAAAGTTTCCACCCGACCTCCTCCCGCCTCAGGCAGGAGCCTACAGAGGCCTGGACCCGGCCGCACTCATAAACCTCGGCACCCGCCTCCTGGAGGCCGGGGTCCTGGGGCGCAGACCTGGCTGGACTGTGGAAACACCTGAGCTTCGTCTGTGGGCTTCAGGGGCTGGGGGAAGAGACAGACCCGGGGCGCACCCCATCCCTGAACTAATTCTGTGCGCACGCACGTGCACACACGCGTTTGCAGATTGCCCTCCGCACACAGACACACCCTGACGGCCCCACTGAGTCCGATCCGTGGGTTTTGGGGTCGTCTGGCAGTAGCACATCCAGACACGCAGGTGAGAAGTCGCGCAGGTAGAGGCACACAGACAACTCTGCTGCACATGCGCCCACAGGACCCCTCTGACAGAGCGACGTGCGCTTGGGTTAAACTCACACGGACACGGACACGCACGCGTCCCATCCAGACACCCCTGGAGCAAATCTCTGAGGCCGACAGCCGCGCCTTTCGCACTCGCCGCGCACGGCCCAAGGGTGAGCTAGCGCGTCCGCGCGAGGTCCGGCCTCTGCGTCCCCTTGTCCCCACGCCCTCCTCGGGCCTCGCCGCTCACCCCTGCAGCGTGTCTGGCCCTCGCGGAGCCAGCCTCCACCCCCCCTCCCATTCCGCTCCCCCTCCGCCCCTTCCCCGTGGTCCCGCTCGGCCGCCCCGCGGTGCCCATGTAAATGACAGCAATAAATATCTAATCAAGGCCTCGGGCGACGCTGACGCCGCCCGCAAAAGCCCATTACCGAACGGGCGGGCAGGCGGGCGGGGTAGGGAAGGGAGTGTGTGTGTGGAGGGGCTGATGAGCGGCGAGCTGGGCGCGTGTTCTGGTTTGCACTTTCATCCCGCACAGGGGAGGGCTCGTCGCCGCCCTTGAGCGAGCCTCAGTTTCCCCTTCTGTAAGGACACCGAGCTGGGCGCTGTCTTAAATGCCCGACCCCTACCACCCGTCTGTTCTTCGGACAACATATTTGATTCAGCCCCAGTGCTGCCCCACGGGCGGAGGTCCCAGCTCGCGCAGACCCGGGCTCCGACCATTTGAACTTCAGCCGGGTTTTGGCAGGCGAAGGGAAGAGTCCCCAGGATCGTTGCCCAGAGGGCCGGAGTGCATTTTTTCGGACGGGTCACGGTTCCCCAGCAGCCTACCGCCGCTGTGAGTGCCGCTTCAGTGGGCCCCAAGGTCACTGGAGCCCGGGGGACCTAGCAGACGCACAGCTCTGCCCAGAGGGGTTTGTCTGCTTCCCGCGCGCACGTCGGGCAGCGCGCAGGTGAACCTCCGCAGAGTTCCTCTGCCCCGTCATGGGGACTTGGGCCTGAAGTAGCTGCCCCACCGGGCACTCTACAGCCCCTGCTTCCCCAAGCCCGCACCTCGGCCCGGGTCTGAGTGAGCCCAGGACTGCCCAGCTCGACACTGCGCACTTTCGGGCAGCATGAACCTGGCCGGCAGGCCACCTCCTCTGGCCGGTGGGAAAGGGGACGCCCTGCGGCCCAACCCCGACCCCAGCTCCGAATCAGTTCCATCTGGTCTTCGTCTTCGGTGCTTTAGCTACATCCACGCCAGAAAGGGAGCAGAGAATCAAGCAGCTAACCCAACAGCCCTCCTCCCTGGGCCTGCCGTCACTGCCAGCCTGGCCTGAGAACTTTCCCAGTAGCATTTGAGAAACGGACAAGCAAAATAATCTGGCCTCTCCTCTCTGCCCTGCCCCCGTCATATTTCGCTGCCTTTTTTTTTTTTTTTTAAATTAACTCCGGCAGCCTGATTTCTCTGCCCCCTCCCAACCCTAAGGACCCCAGAAAACCGGAGTTGTGGATGCAGAGGGGCCTCCCTCAGTCTCGGCCCATTAGCCCGCGGGGGGCTAATTACCCCAATTAGCGGCTGATTTATAATTAATGGCTCGGACCGAGGGATAATTGGATGTTAATGGATAACAGTTTGTGGAGGGAAGGAAGGGCCCAAGCTCCTCAGAGGGCCACAGGCTGGGGATCTGTCCTGAGACCTGGGCGGGGCTTGGAGCTGTCCCTGCTGCCGCTCCTCCTGGATCCCTGACCTAAAAGGAGCCGTGAGAATCTCCCTTGAGGAATTTCTGGGTTCCACGTGCCTGTTGTGGGGTCCAGCCCTGGGGGAATGTGTGACCTTTGTAAGCCTCACACCCCAAACCCAGTGGCCTGCTGTCCCCAGTCCAACCCCAGGACCGCCTCGGGGGCCCTTGGTGAGCTGGAAGGAGGACGCTGGGGACTGCTTTGCCCCAGCACACCCCTCCCTCCCCATGGGGGTCACAGTGCCTGTCACTGTTGGTTTCAGGGAGCGGGACCAAGGTGAGAGCAGTGGCCAGGGCCCAGGCCGTGGCCAGGTCAGGCGGTGGCTCTGGTGGGACACTGGATGTTCCCTGCTGGGGCAGGGTGGGGAGAGGCTTACCCAGTGGAGGGTCTCCCTGAGCTGGTCCCCCCCACCCCCCCAGGACATCTTGCCGTCTGCCTAGAATCTGAGCCCTGGACTAGAACTCCTTACCCTA